CTTTCTAAATCCACTGCTGGATGAATGAAGGCATCCCCACACGCCGTCTCGAGTCCCGGAGTCATTTGGCCGCCCCTACTTCACCTCGCTGGTCAGTGCCTCTTGGTGAAGCGGCCTGAGGTCGACAGATCTCCTCCACTCACCCCACGGTGCTAGCCCACGACTGAATGCGTGGCAATGCTGTCACACACACACACACACTAATAAACAGACAAGTCTTCACAGACTGTTAGGGCTAGTGCTGTTAGTGAGTGACGCCGAGGAAGGTCGGAACGACACACGAGGGAATAAGTGGCCAGCGCCACGCCCGACCGCATTTGTCTCCCCAGTGGCGATGTTCACAACACACCGCACCAAGTAGTCATTAAAGCAGAGTCGACCTAGGGGTGGCCCAGGACCGATTCAGATAATAATCGTCACTGGTGTTGGCCGTTAATGAGAATCGAACTCGGGTTGCAGGGTTCGTAGCGCAGCGTGCTTACCACTACGCCACCGCTCTCCACTACGCCCCCCCCCCCCCACACACACACATATACGTTGTATACACACACACGTTGTAAGTAAGCGCCTCACTACAGAAAGATAGGAATGGCGTATAGTGAGCGGCTTGGCATGGGTGCTGGTGCAAGGAGTGACATGGACCCTCTCCCTCTCTGTCCAATTCCCACTCTTCCGCCAGGATCCCGGTGTAGTTTGTTACCCCTGCTCGGGGCTAGGATTTCAGCACCAAGCACAACTGGCATTCATTAATTAGTACAGGTCAGACGCGGGCAATGCCACAGTAAAGACAATACAATTATGCGGGGCGATTGCAATTGACATAGGTATGCCCTATCGGCTATGTGCACATGTGGATTCAATATAACCGCCAGATATTTGTTGCTTACCTGCGTTCTCTCAGCTGTTCTTGAACAAAGGCAGACGTTGCGTGTCAATGGGCTCCCACCTGATTACGGGACAAGTACGACGCTGATTGATTGATGTGTTTGTTGATGGGGGTTGTGTTTCTCTCCCGCAGGCGGCCAAGCGAGCTGCTTTGTTGCATTAGGCTACTTGCTTCATGTGGTTGCATTGAGCTGCATGTGGTTACATTGAGCTTCATGTGGTTACATTGAGCTTCATGTGGTTGCATTGAGCTGCATGTGGTTGCATTGAGTTTCATGTGGTTACATTGAGCTTCATGTGGTTACATTGAGCTTTATGTGGTTACATAGAGCTGCATGTGGTTACATTGAGCTTCATGTGGTTACATTGAGCTGCATGTGGTTACATTGAGCTTCATGTGGTTATATTGAGCTTCATGTAGTTACATAGAGCTGCATGTGGTTACATTGAGCTGCATGTGGTTGCGTTGAGCTGCATGTGGTTACATTGAGCTGCATGTGGTTACATTGAGCAGCATGTGGTTGCATTGAGCTTCATGTGGTTACATTGAGCTGCATGTGGTTGCGTTGAGCTGCATGTGGTTGCGTTGAGCTTCATGTGGTTACATTGAGCTGCATGTGGTTGCGTTGAGCTGCATGTGGTTGCGTTGAGCTTCATGTGGTTACATTGAGCTGCATGTGGTTACATTGCGCTTCATGTGGTTGCATTGAGCTGCATGTGGTTACATTGAGCTTCATGTGGTTGCATTGAGCTGCATGTAGTTGCATTGAGCAGCATGTGGTTGCATTGAGCTTCATGTGGTTACATTGAGCTGCATGTGGTTGCGTTGAGCTGCATGTGGTTGCGTTGAGCTTCATGTGGTTACATTGAGCTGCATGTGGATGCGTTGAGCTGCATGTGGTTGCGTTGAGCTTCATGTGGTTACATTGAGCTGCATGTGGTTGCGTTGAGCTGCATGTGGTTGCGTTGAGCTTCATGTGGTTACATTGAGCTGCATGTGGTTACACTGAGCAGCATGTGGTTGCATTGAGCTTCATGTGGTTACATTGAGCTGCATGTGGTTGCGTTGAGCTGCATGTGGTTGCGTTGAGCTTCATGTGGTTACATTGAGCTGCATGTGGTTGCGTTGAGCTGCATGTGGTTGCGTTGAGCTTCATGTGGTTACATTGAGCTGCATGTGGTTACATTGCGCTTCATGTGGTTGCATTGAGCTGCATGTGGTTACATTGAGCTTCATGTGGTTGCATTGAGCTGCATGTAGTTGCATTGAGCAGCATGTGGTTGCATTGAGCTTCATGTGGTTACATTGAGCTGCATGTGGTTGCGTTGAGCTGCATGTGGTTGCGTTGAGCTTCATGTGGTTACATTGAGCTGCATGTGGATGCGTTGAGCTGCATGTGGTTGCGTTGAGCTTCATGTGGTTACATTGAGTTGCATGTGGTTGCATTGAGCTGCATGTGGTTGCGTTGAGCTTCATGTGGTTACATTGAGCTGCATGTGGTTACATTGCGCTTCATGTGGTTGCATTGAGCTGCAAGTGGTTACATTGAGCTGCATGTGGTTGCGTTGAGCTTCATGTGGTTACATTGAGCTGGATGTCTTTGCGTTGAGCTGCATGTGGTTGCGTTGAGCTGCATGTGGTTGCGTTGAGCTGCATGTGGTTACATTGCGCTTCATGTGGTTACTTTGAGCTGCATGTGGTTGCGTTGAGCTTCATGTGGTTACATTGAGCTGGATGTCTTTGCGTTGAGCTGCATGTGGTTGCATTGAGCTGCATGTGGTTACCTTGAGCTGCATGTGGTTGCGTTGAGCTGCATGTGGTTGCATTACGCTGCATGTGGTTACATTGAGTTGCTTGGTTGCATCGAGCTGCATGTGGTTGCATTGAACCGCATGGTTGCATTACCCGTGCATTTAAGCTCCGCTTTTGTTTATTTGAGAAACACGCAGAGAAACGCACACGCGGTTTTCAAACTAATCAACTGTCCTTCATCTGCACATAGCAATACAAATCGGAGGTGGTCGGTGTTACCGTGTCATCACGCGTAAGTGAAGCCTTCCCGAACGTCCCACGCATGATGTTTGATATCTCTACTGATGCTTACATTCGAATGATGAAAAAGTATTATTTTTGTTGAAACTCAGCGGGTGCGCTATAGTAAAGTATTTATTACAATAAGAATAATGATGTGCGGCTGTTTTTCAAACCATTGTTGGATGAAAGGCTCCCCACTTCATCTCAGTCGTGGAGGTTGTGCCACCATGCATGCTTGTGTGACCATGCATGAATTGTGTGACCATGCTTGTGTGACCATGCATGCTTGTGTGACCATGCATGCTTGTGTGACCATGCTTGTGTGACCATGCTTGTGTGACCATGCTTGTGCCACCATGCTTGCTTGTGCCACCATGCTTGCTTGTGCCACCATGCTTGCTTGTGTGACCATGCTTGCTTGTGCCACCATGCTTGCTTGTGTGACCATGCTTGCTTGTGTGACCATGCTTGCTTGTGTGACCATGCATGCTTGTGTGACCATGCATGCTTGTGTGACCATGCTTGTGTGACCATGCTTGCTTGTGTGACCATGCTTGTGTGACCATGCTTGTGTGACCATGCTTGTGTGACCATGCATGGTTGTGCCACCATGCTTGCTTGTGTGACCATGCATGCTTGTGTGACCATGCATGCTTGTGTGACCATGCTTGCTTGTGTGACCATGCTTGCTTGTGTGACCATGCTTGTGTGACCATGCATGCTTGTGTGACCATGCTTGTGTGACCATGCTTGTGCCACCATGCATGCTTGTGTGACCATGATTGGCCACGCTCGTCAGTGCGGGGTAGTGAAAGGGAGAGGCCACGAAGTCGGCCCACCAGCAGTGGAAGTCGCCACTGAGAGCAGTGGTCAGGAATCGAACTTGAGTCTCCGAGCACATGGTGATTGACGTTTGTTCCTGAACGCAATCAACAACGGTGTTTTAAAAATAATATATGCGTCTAATTACGTGCACTGAAATCCCAGGATGAATTGCACCTTATAAATGTAAATTATTATTATTATAATCGTAACTTATTATTCACAGCCATTTATTGATACACCACTGTCGGATGAATGACTTCCCAGTCATTGTAGTTGACGGGGGTTTGTTTAACCATACTTCACCGCGCTGGTCCATTTGGATTGACAAAGAGGCTGGGCCCAAGGCCGGTTACGATAACACGGTGGTATAGCCGTGACGTGGAATCCAACTCAGGTTACCCGACTTCGTTATGCCACTGCACCGCTCCATCCAGAAAGCGTCTATGCTAATTGATTTAACACATACTTCATTGCGGCTTCTGCTGCGAATGGTATGTTCAGACTTGAATGAGCCACTGGTTCTAATCAGTGTAACGCTCCCTGTGACCCAATTATCACACTCAGCGTGTGCGTGCTCCGAGCAGAGTCGTCATCGCCACGTGAGACGCGGCTGTTGGCATATCGGGAGAGGCGTGGGTCATCCGAGTTTGCGTGGACCTACGCATGTCAACACCAATATTGTAACAAGGTACAATGCTTTACCACGCCTAAGCTGTATTATATGTAGCACACAAAGATAGATTCAAAAATACCCCATCGAGCCTTTAACAGACTCTTGCATGCTCGTAGGGAAAAGTATTCATTTTATTAATTTCATTTTACCAGGATGGGCATGCTAAGCTATACAGCTCTTTTTCAGATGCGACATGGCTATCAGAAATTATCGCTCAACGAAGTGGCTTATCATCACATAGAAATGTATCGCAGCCAAATACCATAATTACTCGAAAGTGCTGTTAGCGAGCACCTATTGAAGCGAAAACGGCACACAAATGGGGTGGGCGGCCAACGCCATGCTCGGTCGCCTTTGTCTCCCCAATGCTGATATTTACACACAGCACCGCGCATTTAAGGTTGAGTCCACCCAGATGAGGCCTGTATCCGGTTCAGCTATTCGTCTGACGTTGTCACAAGGCATAGGAACCGATGATGGCTGTGACAGGAATTTAACTCTGGTGGCCGGTTTCGCGCTAACCACCACGCTACCACTCCCCATCACATTGCACACAACACCAACAAGAGCAACAACAACAGCAACAAGAGCAATTACTTATTTATTATAACAACAACAATATTTATAACCAGGTTAGAGCTCGTTGCGATTACACTGTTGCTTTAATCAAATAGTACAAGTGTGTTTTCCAATAGCAAATACAAACACTGAGCAAAATAAAAATGGTGCAATAGTTGCAAAACAATATCGACAGATGAATCGACTATAAATACAACACGTGGCGTCACACCGTTGCCGTGTATTTGTGTATTTCATCAACAAAGCCACCCACCAGCAAATGAAGAGACAAATGTGAAATGTTAAATCTATATAACAACAGCAACATACAAGGCATGACTTAACCATTGATTAAACCTATTTACACTCTCATTTAGCAAGCGGTGAATCCCCAGCTGATAGGAGAACACCGATCGATGTAAAGGGAACGGAGTGGTTAAACGCGACAGGCGCTTGCGATATTGCTACAGGTGTCGTGGAGTCGTCATCGGTGAAGTGGCACCGCCGTTGTCTGCATCTGTGGCGTTCGCTTTGGGCACCACGTGGCGTGTGGGATTCATTGCACGTGGCGCGTCTCGCGTTTGCAAGGAAGAAAACGACACACGAACTCAATGTACATCCTATTTGCAATGCTTCCTGGCGTAGAGTTCCTCTCAATGATTTGTTGTTCTTGCTGTTGCTTTTGTAATTCGCACATTCCACCTGCCGTGCAATGTCTTGCGATTTTCCCACTACTGCCAACGCTCGTAACAGAGCTTACTTAGTATGTATGTGTGTATGTGTGTGTGTATGTATGTGTGTATATATGTGTACGTATGCATGTGTGTGTATGTGTGTGTATATATGTGTGTATGTGTGTATGTGTGTTGAACTTCTTTCGCACGGTACGTAGCCAACCGTGTGTATGGAGGTGCGGGGGAAGGAAAGTAGCTCAATGAGGCCCCACCGGCTGAAACCAAGTCGGAGTTCAGTAATACCTCGATTTACGTCTCCACCCCCCCCCTCCCCCCCCCCTTTACGTCGTCACCTTATTAACACCGCTACCCGATTTGCGTCGCCTTAACCCCACACTTACGTCGCTGACTGCATCATCCGTCCTTTCTCGTTATCCGTCACCTCAGGCTGCGCCTCCACCTACCCTGTACATCGCTTCGATTGGCGTCGTTTCGATATTCGTCGTCGCACCTATCGGGAACGCATCCCCGATGTAAACCGGGGTATTATGGTACTTGATTTATTTTGAATCTTACCATCGTAATGTGCCACCCAATTAATAGATTATATGTAACATAATTCAGCAATTGCGTTGATGTGATGAGACACTCTTATGAGATGAACAATTAATGCGTGGGCTCTGTTGATTACTTTAACACCCGTGAAATTTGATGGTTTGATTCATATATAATATAGGCTCACGTTAAAAGTGATTTCTAATTAGCCTATTTCTTCCCAAGAGCCGATAGAATATTGTGAGCAGCGATAGCTCGATAGTATATATCACAGAGACGCGAGTTAACAGACGTAATATTCCGATGAAGATTGGTGAAATACATTTTGAGACTTTCAACTAAAATGTAGTTTTTCTCTAATTTCTCACGATTATTTTAGTGAGATATGCATGGGTGGATCACCGTGTGTGCATTGTGAACAGTTCGCAGGTGTGAATCCATTAGAGGCGACGGGGCGATAGCAGTGGCACGTGCTCTCAAGTCCCGGGTGTAGTTAATCCGTAAGTGCATTCACCGTCTGTGGTCAAACAACAATCAACACATTGATATTTATATTCATATTCTTGGTTCTTTCGGTAAAGTCACGTAGAAGGGAAACAATAAAATAATAAAAATATATAAAACAATAAAATTCTCACGACGTTTCGACTGCAACACAAGCAATCAGCATCAGGTGTGAAAACCACAGCAAGAAAATTTGAAAAAAGTGGCGGTTATTTTTAACGTTAGCACCACGGAGAGCGATTTGACAGTTTGTTCAGATGGACGAGTCATCTATGTTCGGAAAAGAGGAGGGGGGAGACGAAAAATAATGGATGCGGTCTGAAAGCCACCGTAAGCGTGAACAATCAATTAAGACCCGAAATGGTTTATCAAATCCTTCCAAATGATTGCTAAGCCAGCATCCATCTTCTCGGTCGAAATTATCTCTTGTGTTTGTATATGTGGATAGCCTCATGAACGAATCTCTCATGGTAGCCAGATGGCTTGCAAAGAACCTCTGTCTTGGAGAAGTCAATGTCATGTGAGCCTACTGAATTATATTGATATTTCTTTATAGCACACAAATGAACCAGGGTCATGGTCCGAAACGTCGCGGATCATATACTTATCCGCGCCTCCGATTAGCACGTTTTTTTTTACGTACGGTGCGGAAAAAGTTAAACATACATACGTTACCCTTTTAAGAGTACAACGTTGTTGACGAATGTGTTCAATTAGTTGCACTATTATTATTATTAGTCCTCGTGCACCACTGCCTACGCAGCAGCAGCAGCAGCATCACCAGGTGCTGTGTCTGTACGTGTGCTGACTCGTATTCACGTGCAGACGCGTGACACACGTCGAACACGACGTCCCGACATGCGCCTATCAAGAACGCTTAGCAATTGTCTATCAGACACGTTTACGATACTGAGATCAAATATCTTTACAGACCTACATACTATGAATTGCGTATAAAGTAGCCGTGTAAGGTACAGACTTTAATCAATCCACTGCTGTAAGAAGCTATCCCCGCATCGTGTTGATCACGGGGATTGTTAGACCGCACTTTACTACGCTGGTCATCGCGGATTGGTTGAAAGGATGGGAGCCCAGGACGGGTTTAGGTATCACTCACCACTGATGGTAGCCCTGGCTGGGAATCTAACCACTGCGCCACTTTTCCAATCCCGCCCCTGTCTCCCCTCCCCCATCCACCCCCACCACGCATCTTTGTACAACTGGAAGATGCTGTTCTTCGTGCGCACATGTGTGGGGGGCAGCAGCAGCCCCCCACACATGTACAACCCCTCGGTGTCAATCCACTGCTGGCTGAGGGTCTCCCAAGGCAGCGTCGGGTCGTGGAGGTTATTTGACCATACTTCACCATGCTTCACCATACTTCACCATACTTCACCATACTTCACCATGCTTCACCACGCTTCACCATACTTCACCATACTTCACCATGCTTCACCATGCTTCACCATACTTCACCATGCTTCACCATACTTCACTATACTTCACCATGCTTCACCATACTTCACCATGCTTCACCATACTTCACCATACTTCAATATGCTTCACCATACTTCACCATGCTTCACCATGCTTCACCATACTTCACCATGCTTCACCATACTTCACCATACTTCAATATGCTTCACCACACTTCACCATACTTCACCATGCTTCACCATACTTCATCATACTTCACCACGCTGGCCAATGCACGTCGGTCGAGGTAGGAGAGAGGTATAAGTTCAACACAGCACAGCAATGCGCTTTGCTCTACTGCTCCACTGCATATCTAGGCTATACAATTCTTATTAACCACAACGTGAAGCTAAATGTCGGTCTATTTAAACCGTAATCAAGCCGTATACAAGGTGTTACAATGCCGGTGGTCGTGACAAATTCCTTCTCGAAGAAAAAAATGAAACCCGCTCCATCCATCACTGTCATCCCAAGCCACATCGAGCGCGCATCAAGTTGAGTGCTTGTGTCTTGAGGCCCATTACGAGCGTCCGTGCCCACTCTAAACATTCCTGAGCGACACAGTCGCGCTCCACATCCGAACAGCGAAGAATAATGCCACGTTAACATTGTGTGCACACACAAAGATAAATACAAAGATCCCCCGTATAGTATTCACAAACTGTTCGGGGCAAGGTCTGTTAGCGAGTACCCCCGAAGGCCGGCACGGCACACTAGGGGGGGGGGGGGTAGCCAGCACCTCGCCCGGCCGCCTTTGTCTCCCTAGTGGCCCAGAATCGATTCAGATATTCGCCAATGTTTTTGGTCGTGAGCAAAATTCGAACTCGGGTTCCAAGCGCATTGGGCTTGCCACACAAAGACAAAGATTCCCCGTATAGCCTTAACAGACTGTTGGGGTGAGTGTTGTTAGCGAGCGCGCCTATGAAGCTCGGCACGGCACACGAAGAGGCGGTGGTGTGTGTCCATCATCATACCTGGCCGCCTTTGTCTCCCCTCGTGCCGATATTTACACACAACCGCATCGAGTCCTCGTTTTAAAACGTGGGTCGATCCTAACCCCCAGGAACACTTCACAGAACCGCTACTGACAATCGCCGTGGCCGGAGAATGGAACTCAGCTGGCCGGGTCGCGTAGCGCAGTGCGCGCAGAAGTCGCCGCTCCCCCAACACAAACACGCAGAACGCACAGCAAAGCACAGACAAAGATCCCCCGTATTGCCTTGCTGGGCACAGTTGCGGTTAGCGAGCACCTATGAAGGCTGGAACGGCACACGAGAGGGTGGGTGGCCAGTAACACGCAGGGCCGCCTTTGTCTCCCTCGTGGCGATATTTACGCATCGCACCAAGTACTCATTTGAGGCTGAGTTGACCTCGCGAAGGCCGAAGACCGGTTCAGAAAATCGTCACTGGTGTTGGCTGTGAGCGGAAATCGAACCCGGGTCTCCAGGTTCGTAGCGCAGCGCAACCAACCGCTCCCCACACACTACCGCTCCCCCATAAAAACAACACGCACACACAACATTCTGTCTGTCACTCCCCTGTGACGGCTGAATGTCTCTGATTAGCACTCTTCACGAGTTAAAGGGACCTCTTCGTGCGGCGGATGAATTGCAGGTGCGAGACCCGCGGAGCACGGATGAATACTCCAGGGCCACACGCGTCTCTGAGCGCTCGTTGCTCCGGTGTATATATAGACAATGTTACACGCGCCCCCATACGATTATCCACATTCGTATTTATGGTGCCTGCGTAGGCGTGTATTAAAGAAACACGTGTGGGCGTTGTGTGCGTGTGAGTCGCTTCTCTCTCTCGCTCCCTGAGACGGTATCTTGGGACGGGTAACAATAACAACAATCCCATTAATACCGATATCAGCACTCTATTGAAACTTCTATAGAAACTTAATTGTCTATTGTAATTTCCAATGACATTTGCAATGCGTATTGTGCCAGTTTTATGTATGTAAGTTGAACTTCTTTCGCACCGTACATAGCCAAGCGTGCTAATCGTAGGTGCGGACCATACAGCCGCATTGCCTGGGAGTGCGCAGTAGCAGCAGCATTGGTGAAATGCAAGCAAGCTGTGTATGGTCAACGTGTCAACAGTCTACCCGCTTTCAATGCAGTATACTTTACCTCTGTATTTATATTTGCACGGATTAATTTCTCTCTCCATATTTTCTAGAATGCTTGAGAAGCTGATTGAGCTTGGAATAGGGACTATCGGCATAAGGCACTACAACTAGTGTTCAATGTATACGCAGATCCACAAGAACATTGTATTGTTGTTGTTGCTGCTGTACCCTATGTAACAACCACCGCAGAATCCTGAGCACAAATTAAGGCGAGATGGATGATCTTGATTTAAAGCTTTCGTGACTGCAGGGATTCATATTCTTGGTTCTTTCGGTAAAGTCACGTAGAAGGGAAACAATAAAATAATACAAATATAAAACAATACAATTCTCACGACGTTTCGACTGCAACACAAGCAATCATCACAGCAAGAAGATGTTCTTGCTGTGGTTTTCACACCTGATGATGATTGCTTGTGTTGCAGTCGAAACGTCGTGATAATTTTATTGTTTTATATTTTTATTATTTTATTGTTTCCTTTCTACGTGACTTTACCGAAAGAACCAAGAATATGAGATGGATGATGTCACGTGCCAACATGTGTTTTTGTCCGGCGTTCTGAACCGTTGTGAACCTGTCCAGAAAAAAAATCGAGCACCAACCGGTTGCTACAGAAGTCGTTGCATAGAAACAAATGAGCCCGAATGCCTCTCGTCTCGCCATATGGCAGGAACTGAACGAGGCTGAGCCTGGGTTCTCGCTCGCAGGCACGCGACGACTTCTCTGAGCTGTCGATGAAATACCTCGCCTCCCATTAGCACGTTCAGCTACGTACGGTGCGAAAGAAGTTCATCATACATATCTCGCATGGAGTAATCGGTTAAGTAATTATTACGCTAATGGGTGTGTGTGCCACACACCTTTGTAATCGTTCGAATGAGCCACACACCGTTTGTTGCCGTGCAACTGTGGCCAAAATTAAATATTCTCGTCGAACGCACGGACGTATTGCTCGCGTTGTACCTCGCGTCGATGGATGCAGGATGTAATGAGTCGACGATTTTATATTCGTTTACTTTGCAGCCACTAGTGACCGCTACATTAATCAGAATGTAATAAAAATAAAATATCATTAAATCAAGTGGCGATCTCAAAACGAGACGATCATTCGAATCGTTGAGTAGTGATGTTATTATCAATATTGTATTTTATATCAATATTATAAATCTATCAATAATATACAGCGCTCAGCAAATAATAAAACAAATAACAACATCGAAACATTGGAATGCATAAGCATGCGGAGATTTGCAAAAAACAACGCCTCCATGTGTAACGAGTAGCCCACAACGAGTAACCCACAACGAGTAGCCCACAAGGAGTAGCCCACAAGGAGTAGCCCACAAGGAGTAGCCCACAAGGAATAGCCCACAACGCGAAGACCACAAAGAGTAGCCCACAA